TGGACACACGGAATGGGAAAAATTACAAAACTTTTTCTGTTTCATTTTTTGTTTTGTTTTTTTTTTTGGGGAAATAAGAAATTTGCATAAATTGACAGCAGAAATTTTTATATGCCACCACATAATGACCACTCGGAGCAGCTGTAAACAGCTCGTAAAAGTAATTACAGTTGCCGACAGACAAAATGGGGGAAAGCGGAGAGATGCGTAAAGGGAAAGGAAGGGAAAGGGGCTGCCCCCAGGGCGGGGGTGTCACAAATGAGCGGGTGTTTTGCCGGACTGGCCCGACTGGCCACTAATTATAGGCAACTTAAACGCAACTAATTTTCACACTTGGAAAATGATTAAAACTCCATTTGTCCGTGTGCGTGTGTCTGTTTGTCTGTCTCTCTACGAGTATGTCTGCGAGGAGCAACAGCGTGAGATTCAGCGGGAGAACGAGAACGAGAACAAGAACGAGCTACCAGCCGACACCTTGGCTAATTAATATTAATTGAATTTCTTGGTCAAGCATGCGTCTGTTCGGGCCAGGCCGAGTGCGTGGAAATCTACGCAGCTGCTGCTGGGTGCCACTCGATTGGCAAACCCCCATAGAGGCCGCAAGAGAGCGCCGCCTGACTCTGATGGAGCGTTAGTGCTGGCAAAGTGCATTCACTTCACACCAACTTAGAACTTGGGACGTGGGACGGGCTAATGCCCGGCGTAAACGATCACGAAACCCGAGCGGAAGTCCAGCAGATGAAGCGTGCTCAGCACGAAAATTTCGAGGCAATTATAGTTCAATTATATTGGTCGAGAGAGCACCGGAGATATATGGCCACGCAACGGTCGGTCAGGCAGCGGGTCAGGTCAAGCAGGAGTTGACCGGCTGACAGCTGGCAAATTGCGAGGCCGTACCCACATCAGTTGTCAGTGGGTGAAGGACGCAGGACGCAGAATGCACGATACAGGATACAGGACACAGGGTTTCCCACGCTTAAGCTCCATCGTTGATATTAAAAGAGTTCGCATTTGGTTTTCATAATCTTTTATTTCATAATTTATTACAATTGAAAATTATGTTCAATATTTTCTCGTATTTTGTTTCGTTCTTGTTGCTCCTTCCCCACCATGATTATGGTTTCGCTAGAGATGGAGAGAGAGATCCCTAGCACTCTTCCATTTCCATTTCAATTTCCATCCACCCATCCATCCATACGTCCATTCATCGATCTCATACAACAAGTTCAGGAATTCGTTAATTGGTTTTTATTTCTTTACATAGAAGCTTCAATTAGTTAATTAATTTAATGATACTTTCCTTTCCATATATTTATAATTATATTTATTATAATTTACTTTAATTCATTCCGGCTTTAAGTCTAGCAATTTAGTTAAAGTTAATTTTTACACGCACAAACATTTATTTAATTCAATTCTCCATATAAATATATTTATAATTTTTTACTCCAATGCATTCTCGGATTTTATTTCGCAACTTTTTTGTTTTGTTTTTTGTTTTTCATTGATTTATGTATATATTTTCGTGCAACCAAAGAGCTAGCTCTCCCTATCTAACTCTTCAGTGCTTCAGGCGCACGCTCCCGCTCGCTGCCATGCTCGCTCGCTCGCTCTCCCGCTCATGTGTCTATATGCACCCATCTCTTTCATTCTTCTGGGTGTTTACTGATGCTTTCGCGTGGGTAAGTTTTATAAATTGTTGTCTCCTTCGTTCGTTATGTTCTGTTTCTTGTGCATTTTTTTTTAGTCTATGCTCAGGGTTGCATTTGCTCCGCTTCTGCTTCTTCTGCCATTTACGATCTAGCATTAGACTTAGGTTAAGATTAGCATTACAGTTAGTGTTTATGATGTACTTAAGTTGGGAGGGGGGGTGTGATCTATGCAAATGTTGCGCAGTATTTACAGAGTATTCTCAATGGGAATTGTCAAAAATGTACAATATTTATTACATACATATTACACTCGTAAATGTAGCGATTATGCTTATAATAATCCTCATAGTAATCATAATAATAATAATAATGTTGCTGTAGCACTTAATAATCATATTCATAATATTTACGGCGTATACATTTAAGTTTCGAGAAAAATCACATTTTAATTTAAATTCTGACACAAAAATTAGTTCAAACATAAAAAGCCTTCAAGTTTGTTTCCATATACAATGCGTATTATAAATCGTATTTTTACCGATCGCCATGGATCGGTTTGACATTTATCAACACTGACTTGACACACACACACACACACACTTACATATTGCATTCGCCCCAAAAGAATCGTACTATCCATCTACAACTGATTCAATTTACAAGCTTTTGTCGTACCAGAGTAGCGATGTGTTTTCTTCCCGAACCAACCCATCAAGCTGGTCGGGAGAGGAAGGAGAGCAGAGTAGATCCCCCTGAATATAGAATGTAGAAAAATGCATTAGCCAATGCATGATGGGGGTACCACACCAAAAAGCTCATACAAAATACTTGGAAGTGCTCAGCGATGGATGGGATGGGACTCTCTCGCAACTCCTTCCTCTCCAAACCTATCCAAAGTGGCCGTGTCCGGAGAAGGTGCTCACCGCTGTCTGGTGCGACTACATTTGGTTCGTTTTCTTATGCCATAATGCGTATGATATATGTATAGATATATGTACTAATCGAGATTTATTAAAATTTAGTTACTGTATAGCTATGTATCTATGGTTTATGTTCTCTATGTAGACTCGTATACATCATTCATTCATTCAATGCTTCCACTTTGGGTTTCTCATTTAAGGCGTTCTGTACAGTTTGCGTTTAAACGTTCTGAAGTCAATTGTGTCGATTATTTAGCTACTCTATATATATATATGTATATATAGTCTAATAAATTACTAGCGATGCGTACTCGTACTCGTATATCGTATCGTATCGTATAGATCTGTTGTATATTGGGAAAAGGTTTCAATTTGCTGTCAATTTCTCAGTTTCAGCTTTTGCGGCTTAGCAAATTTTGTAAATAAATTTATCGCTTCACGTGATAGGTGCAAAAAATTCGCATAAAGATTTTCATTCTTTGGGGATTCTTAGAGAAGTTCGTATACATTTGAGTGATTGTTTCGAGTGTGAGATAATTAGTTGGATGAGTGTTTTTTTGCCTAGATGTGTGTGCTAAACAAATGATGGGTTCCCATGCAAAAGAAGCTCGAGTTTCATCCAAAGCGCAGGCTAAACAATCTTTCGCTTGTGGGTTTTATTTTCTTGTTTTTCAAAAAAGGTACTCGCTTTTCCACACCCTCAACCACAATCGGTTTGTTCATCTTCAATAAATTCCAAATAAATTACTTAAATTTCGATTTGTTGCCCTCTGCATTTACGTATATTCGTTACCATTTATAATTAATCAGATTCACAAGCAATGTAAATTCAATTCAGTTCCTTAGCATGTGTCGGGTCGGTGATCCAATTGTACACTACACCAAAAGAAACAAATCATATCTGTGTGGGTGTGTAGGTGAGAGGATTCCATTCTCTTGGAGAATGTCTCCTCGGTGTATTGCAACGTAAATGATAAGTGCATGCCCCGCTGTAAAAATAAACCAAAATCAAATAAAAACACAAACACAAAATGTTATTTTTTCAAATATTTTCTCATATATGCATTTTGTTTTCATCAATAAATCATCGCTTGTACAATGGTTTGTTCCTCCTCTCATTGTTTGAATTAGTTAAATTTAAATCATTAATTAAGTAAATGTAATAATAATAATAATAATAGTTAACTAAGGATTAACGCATACAAATTAGAATACATAAATAAAAGTACAGTGTAAACGTAATCATAATTTATTATTAATATTTACGTATACATATTCAGAGCTACATATGTATATGCCTATGCCATTATTTGTATCGCTTTAGTCGTATCTCGCATAAGATCCATACATACATACATACATATGTATACATTTATATTTGTATATATTCAAATCGGTCCAATGTGCTTCAGTTGGAAAATAATACTACAAAATCCGCACACAATGAAAATGATTTCAAGCAAATTCCATTCAAATCAAAGGTTCTCCTAGTATAGTATATTGTGTATCTGCTATCTCTCGTCATTCTTCCTTCGTTTTTTTTGTAAAAATTAAATTCCATTTCGTTTTTACTTAAGTGTTGCAAGGCGTAAAATTAGAAAACAATTCAATTTATTTAAATTAATCGTCTAAACGTAGGATACAGTAGGGTTCTATCGCCTATAGATAGGGTTCTTCTAGGTGTATCGTATCGTATCGTAACTATGTATATATACTCGTATGTTTAGTTAGTTATCGATTTGTTTTGTATTTACATATACATATGCATAAAGGGTATAGAAAACAAAGCGTTACTACAACTGACTCGCATTACATAACTAAAAAGAAACTAAAAACTAGCAAAGAATTCTCCTCTCCTTCATTCTCCACTCTCTTCACTATCTTCACTCTCCATTTCGATCTCCATCTCTCCTATTCCACAAATTATATGCTCACTCACAAATTCAATTTATTGTGTATTCAAAACTGATCTAATTTCGTGCTGATTCTTCTGCATTGTCTGCTGGTGGTTTTGGTTGGCGGTTCGTGCGGGTCGTGGCGGGGGCGGTGCGGGGCATTTACTAAAATTCAAACTAAAATCTACTCAATTTTAAATGAAATAACAAAATCGCTTTTGTTGCTTGTTCTGTTTTGTGTTCTGCTCTGTGTTCCATCATTCCGGACTGCGCCTAAATTCATGCTTCAATAAAAATGTTTCATCTGAATTTTGAACCTAAAAATTTGCATTTTGTGTGTGTTTGTTTGTTTGTGTATGTGTGTGTGTGTATCTGTGTGGGTTCTGGCTTTCATTTTGTTTATTTAACTTATAGCTAAGCGTTCCATTTTGTTTATGCATAAATATCTTCTTCTTTTTTGCTTTTCTGCTGCGTTATTTATGTTTTTTTGTTTCGTTTTCATTTTCTTTTCTTTTTTAAGGTATACACAAATAGTTTCTTTTTTAAAATTGTAGTTTCTGGTGTTGCTGCTGATGTTGCTACTGATGTTGCTGCTGGATGTTGCTTCTGTTGTATCTGCCTTCTGCTTGGCGAATATCATTTTTAAGATTTCACTACACTTGTTCTTTGCTTTTGTATTTTGTTGCTTTTCCTATAACTTGACTGATATTGCCACTCGGTCTGCTTGGTTTCGGATGGGATCGGAATGATCCATGGTCCATTCCGGGGTCCTCTCCTGCTCCTGTTCCATGTCCTGCCGCTGATGCTGTTGCTGCTGCTCCTGATGATCCGCTCTCCGTTCCGCTGGATAGTAGTAAATTTAAGCTATGATTTTGGCTTTTTCGCTGTCGGCCAGCTGCTCGTATGCAGCTATTGGCTCAGCCTCCGCCGCTGCCGCTGCCTGTCCGACCGCCGCTGTCGGCTGGCCGCTGCATTACAAGTGCTGGCCATAGTACTCGGCGGGCGGGTAGTGCGGGTAGCCCTGATGGAAGCCGGGATCGCCGGGCGGACGGTGCATCATATGCGCCTGGCTGTCCATCATGTAGCCCATGGCGTCGTGTCCGTAGCCGGAGGGACCTGGATGCGGTGTATAGACTGTGGGTCAGTGATCGTCGGAGTGGGGAAAGAGAAGAGAGAAAAAAATGCGCATAATTAGAAATTGCGGTCGAAAGGATTGCGAAAGAAGGAGAGCTGAGAGCCCCTCCAGCTGAATGGGATCGATCAGCTCTCTTAATTCCTAATTAAATCAGCGCCATTTCATAGTTATGGTTATTTTTCGCATACAATTCAGAGCGATAGTTACCTGCACGATTGGATTGATCGATCATCGGCTGGACAATTCTTCGCCGCGCATTGATGAACCTGTAAGTGGAGCAAGAAGTGGAGACCGTTTTAGTGGCATTCGTTAATTAAACAAACCAAAATCGAAAACGAAACCGAGATAGAGTCGGAAATGGAATCGGAATCGGAGCTGGAATTGCAGAGTTGGAATTGGAATTGGAGTTGGAGACCGACCCAAAGATGGACGTATGAATTATGCATGAATAGGCTGGGATTTGCAGGGATGGCTGCTTTATGTGCCCAACTTAGCCATAAACCAAACCAAATCTCCGCCAGAGTCACACTTTTTGTTGAGTTGGCACGACCGGGCCAGGCCAGGCTGTGAGCTCTGGGCCAGATCAATGGGCCATGCCGACTCTGGTTATGATTGTCGTTTAATAAATGCAATAAGAAATAATAAGCAGTTGATCCAGCTACTGCGTGAAGGATCAACGGCGACACAGAAAAAGAGGAAAATGATTAAAGCGAAAAGCCGCCACCGGAGTGACAGTCACTTGGCTCTGACGATGTACCCGCCACAAAAAACCACATCCAGCAAACAGCAAAACACGCGAAAAAAAAATCTAAAGAAAACACACACACCAGACGCATCGGTTACAGATGCGAGTACAAGGCCAGCAGAGAGACAGAGAGAGGATACAAATACAAATACTCGCATTAGCCGAAAAACAACGCGGCTCAAACAGTTGTTGAACAGTTAGCGGGAAGGTTAATGCACTTCACGACTCCTCTTCAACGAAAATCTGCTGCTCCTCTCCTCCCCTCGTCACTCCTCGCCGACTTTGGACTTTTCAATTTGCAGTTGATTTCTGCTGTGTTCGAGCTCTGCTCATTTTAGGGCGGAAATTGTTGCAACGCCCTGAAATCGTTTATCAAAACGACAAAATGGAATTGAGTTCCGTTGCCTTGCATACATATAAACATCTTTCCTCTTTTTTTTTGAAGATACAGCAACAGCAGCAGTGGCAGAAGCAGCAGAAGATGCGGGGCCTTGTAAGCTGCAAATCGATTTGGCCGCTGGCCCAGGCAGTTGATTGGACTGATTGCAAGAGAGTTCGAGAAAGAGCGATACAGACACAGATACCATATACCAGATACAGATGGAGAGACCAACTTCTAGTTAATATTGGTTAGTAATGATGGCAGCTCGGGTGGGACACGGAGGACACGCAGGACATTCGGTTGGTACGGCGGTGAACATTTGCAGAGTTATTTATGTACTTAGGGCATAATTATAACTTTGCTTCTTGTGCAGCTGTACGAGTAACTAAGCGTTAATATTTAAAACTTGGCCACTGAGAAAAAAGCGAAACTTTTTCGATTACCAAAGTTCCTTGGGCCGTCTCCGCCATCTTATTGGGTGTTAATGGACTTTTCCTCCATCTCCATATCCATGTCTATCTCCAACTCTGCTCTGTGCTGCGATGGTCATTTGAATTGCTTCTTATGCAGTGTTTCTGTGTGTGTCTGCCCCTGCGCCCTTGCCACGATGTTGCCTGGCTTGCCTCAAATTGCGCAAAATAAATACACATTTAGAGGGAGATACGCAGAAGGCTCTTGGCTATTCCCCGAGGATTAGAGTCCTGTCCTGCCAGCCTTCTTGGGCCCCGGCTTTGCTCGGCTTTCTTCCAACCCCCAGCCCCCTGCAAAGGTGTCGTCCGTTAGCCCATAAATAACCAAAAGTGTCAACATTTTATTTTGCTATTTTCTGCTTAGGTTTTTCTTTTTTCCATGGCCATCCGCTACCTCCATCCGCCATCCTCCTGCCCTTTGGCCATCTCTCTCTCTACGCAGTGTTGCGTGCCTAAGCGAAACGGGCAGGACAGGACAGGACAGGAGGGGATAGCACAGGACAGTGGTCCTGACGCAGGTCCTTGCTACTATTTGTTAATTTGCAGTGTGCTTCAGTGAGCGCGAAATTCAATTTAATTGAGCTGAGTGCCTGCCTGCCTGCCAGCGTAACCCCAACTCGATTCAATCCCTGCTGCCTGCTCCCTGCTCCCTGCTCTTGCCTCACCGAATCAACCGACTCTCTCTCTCTCTCCTTACCTCGTTGGATAAAGCTCTCACACATTTTTCGCTAGATTTTATTATGGCCTGTCCCTGCTTAAAAGCATTCCAGGGCACATCGGAGCCGGGCCAAAGCCAGCTGCATAAAAGATTCAGCAAACGCTTTTAACTTGCTCTCCAGCGCTGCTGGCAGAACTTCTTTCGTATTTGCAACTGCAGGAGGCAGCTTAGGCAGCCTTGTCTTGTCTTCTGCATTGGCTGTGGCACAGTGTCAAGTTCTGCAGCATGTCGCATAATGTGTAAAATTTGATGAAGTTGCCTGCGAGAGCTGCTGCTGCAACTCTCCATCTCTCTATATCTCTTTCTTTGTCTCTGCCTCAAGCCTAATGCACTTCTGGATCTCCCTAGGATTTGGCTTTCAGTCTCCATCCCCATCCAACTGTCTGTCTGTCTGTCTGTCTGTCGGTCTCCTGTTCCGTTGCTTATGGTGCCGTCTAAGGTAACAAGGCCCATAATTTTGTTTGCCACATTCTTTTCAGCTCTCTGGCCTGTGGCAGGTTGACTTTGCCTTTGCCACTCTCAGCTCAACGAGTGTTTCCTTGGCGTGGGCTGCGTGGATGTGCTCTGGTTTTCGGTTCAGTCTGCTCCCCCTAGAGGCATAAAGCGGCTAAGTGATGGCCTGCATTTGCATTCGCTCTGTTTATTGTGATCTTTGTCATGCAGATAAGCTGATCTTGGTCTAAATCCGCATCTACATCTTCATTTTTATTCTGTTACTTACCAATTATTCACTTGCAGTATCGTTAGGCCTGTATCCTGGGCCAATTGTTTCTTCTGGTCCTCGGATGGGTAGGGATGCTGCAATTCAAGAAAATAAAAGAAGGATATTTAATAAAGATATCAGGGCATAAAATAATCAATAATTAAATTAAAGTTTACTCCACTGCCTTTGGCACCTTCACATTTCACACACAGAGAAGAGAATGTTGCTGGGGGAAACTGTTACAGGCCAAAATTTACAATCTATCTATCTATCAGGGGGCGGAGACAGGAGAAGGAGAATCGATCAATCATTGCCAGTAAGCAGCCGCAATAAAACCAAATGGGAACCTGTCACCCCGGACCCGGACCCGGTCCCTGGGCTGGGAGCTGCCTTCGCACTTGAAATGCTGCACAAGAGAGTGTATTTTTCGGCTGTTTTTTTGTTGTTTTGTTTTGTTTATCAGACGAGAGTGCACTTCTTATCAGCAGTGCCACTCAAAATGTCCTCAATTTGCTGCCACTGCCGCTGCCTCTGCCACTGCTGCCTCTGCTGGCTGGGCTGCAGTGCGTACGCGTGTCTAGCGCCAAATGGGCAAACAAAGGCCAGGGGGAGTGCTGCCTGTGACTGGGTCTTTGACAGGGGCTACTTCCCCATAAATCTTGCAGTCGACCCGCCGACACAGTGGCGTCAGTGTGCAAACAATCCGAAAAACAGAGCCGAGTGAAAGTGCTTCCCCCTTAGCTGTGTGGAGCTGTGGAGCTATGGAGCAGCTAATCTAATCGTTTGTTTTGGGGGGCTGGCGCTTATTACAATTTGTTTTATTTGCCTTGTTGTTGGCTGTGCTGTGCTGTGCACTTTCTGTTGATTTAACGATTCCGATCGCAACACAAATTCACTGTACTTACTACTGTACAAATGCTTGTTTCGGCGGGGCTTCAGAAGGGGGAACCCGGCACCTGGCTGCTGTCAAAATTTCTAAGGATCTGTGGCGGAAGTTGCTGTCAAACGGTTTGGCTTTGTTTCGCCCTCGAATCGGGACATCGCTTTGCGCGTGCTCCGCACTCCGCTCCACTCCTCACTCCGCACTCCGACTGCGACTCTGTCTGAGGCTCTGCCTCTGCCTCTGCCTCTGGCCTTTGTATTAACCCTTGATTGCCGCAACGTTTCCGGCAGCTGTGGGCGTCGCTTCAGCTTTTGGCACTCGTCACTGCCGGAGTGGAGTGCTCAAACGATAATTGTGATTCTATAGAGCCCAAAACTCTGTTCGAAACGGGAGGGGCAAGTGACGGAGAAGGAGGAGTAGAAGGGCTGTCTGCAAATGCAATTTGCTTCTCAGCTAAGAAATTGTTTGGAAATTTACGGTTTTATGTCTTGCACCCCGCCACTGCGCCCCAAAATATATGAACTGTCTCGTGTATGGTATGAGAATTGCATGTGGCATGTATTCGATGGCCAGTGGAGTCGCCAGAGGAGAGTCGCCAGCAATTCCAATCGAAATGTGCAACGCTGCACATCCTTGTCTGTGTCGCCTGTCTTCGTCTGTCTGTCTGTCTGTCTGTCTGTCTGACTGTCTGACTGCCTGAGTGTATCTGTGTGTCACTGTTTGTCTCCACTGTCTGTGTGTGTGTGTGTGTGTGTGTGCCAGCATGTCCTGCCTGTCTGTAATGCAATTTAGTAGCCGTTGTAGTCCTGCCCTGACCACACACTCCTCCACACCTCCAAAAAGGCTTGGCCTGGCCTGTTTGGTAGCTCCTTAAATGCATTTGCCTTATTGTTTGTGTTTAATAAATTTTACGTGTTGTCTTGTTGCTGCTGCTGCTGCTTAGCTTGTTCGTTGTTGTTGTCTTGTGTCCTGCCTCCGGCAGCAATATTTGTTTGCTGTCTTGGCCAGGTCGAGGCCAGGCCATCCATCCCAACCCATCCCTCCCTTGCCACGCCCGCACGCTGGCCAACAGCAAATACCAAAACTATATGAAATTTGCGTATTGACAAATAAACGTAGAAGCCATGTAAATACAATGGACATGCCAATGGCAATGTTCCTCCTCCTCCCATTTATTGCTGCTGCTGCTGCTGTTGCTGCTGCTGCATTTGGCTATTCTCCTATACACCTCCCACAGTAGTAGTAGTGCTCGTATACCCGTAAAATGTCTAAGAAGTCAGAAGGCATAAATTACATGCAGGTAAATTAAAACGGAATTTATAGCATACTTTGTGGCGCACATCTATTTACAGAGATGCTGCCATTCCGTTCCGGAGAGAGAGAGAGAGTAGGAGTGGAGCAGCCTGGTTATTGATTTGATATTGCGGACAAACAAAAGCCAAGACAGCTGCCAGTGACAGTGCAAATGCAGCATGAGATCATTGTGGTTGGAGATAGTTTAAGAGACAGAAAGAGCCTCTGCACACATGTCTTCAGATGACTTAATAATCACAACATTAGTTATATATATTGCCGAAATATAATTAATATAAGTATCAAAGATCAGAGAGATACTGTGGCCTAGGCAGGCTAAGGAATCTGCGGAACTAGTCTGCATTTAGTCCACATTAAAGAAATGCATTTCTAGCACTGCTGTATTTGCCATGCCCCCAAGTTCAAGTTCGTTGACTTTTGCGATCCGAATAATATGCATTTCATTTGCAAAAGCTTTCAATTCAACGCCTACACCAACAACAGCAGCAACAGCAGCAGCTGCAGATATATCCCCAAGAGCTTAGCACTTTTTGCCCTGAATGTCTCTTTAAGCGTTTTTCTTTCAGACTCCACTTTGTTGCACCAATTAGACTAATGAAAGCAATTATGCATTTTGCACACACACACAAACTGCACACAGTGTAGACACACACACAGAGGTAGCAAAGACAGGCACACTAGCCCGGCGAGTGCATAACATGTCAAGTAGAAACAAAGTCCATTTGGTTTATTAATTTACCATACGACAAAATAATTAATTACTGTCACGCCTTTAAGTTGCTTTTGCCATGTCGCCCCAGCCCCAGCCACAGTCCCTAGCCGCCTCTCCTCGTCTGCCGTCTCTCTGCCACTTCACTGCCCCTGATTTCTGCTGTCTTGCTGTGGCTCTTGTCTATGTGGCAACTTAACTCGCTCCACTTTTTCCAACATACATATTTTCACTTTGTTGTGTGTTTATTTAAACTTGGCAAATGAATTTAAAACAATCATCGCACACACTCACACACTGTAGGAGTGAGGAGTGAGAGAGGGAGGCCGAGGGCTGTGCGGACTCCTTTCCCCCTGCTGACAAGTGGCAGGCATAGGGACTGGCATTGTGGCAGAGCCAGAGACAGAGGCTCCCCTCCCTTCATTGGACCTGGGCCTGGGCCCAATGATGTCAACATGACTGCAGCGCTGTGACACATGGCACAACAAGCCCAAGAAGTCGAGGCTGGCCCCGGCTCGGTAATGCACACACGTACAGCCAAAGCCCAGAGCCACAGCCAGAGCCAGAGCCAGTGAGACCAGGCCAGACCAGACCAGCGATGCCGACGCCATTAACAACGCCAAATGCGACGCCATTTGTGAAACAAGCAACAACAACAACAGCAACAGCAAATTGCAACGGCGGCGGCGTTGGCGGCGCAACGTGAAAATTGCATTGCCACAACGAAGAAGGCGACGGCCTCTGCTGTTGGCCATTATGAAGATTTTTTCCGTTGCACTGCATGTCTAAACAAAGCCAAATGAGTGTTTCTCTTCCACTCTTCCAGTCCTTCACTCCTCCACTCGGCGCCCTGTGTGCCATGCCCCCTGGGAAGGGGGCAGGAGCAGAAGCAGGAGGGTGCCAGAGCGGGACAGCTACGGTGGGCTAGAGGGAGAGAGCCAGGCACTAATCGCAATGTTGTCCACATCCCCAACCTCAACATGTGGCAAACAACAACAGCAACAAAAAAAGAAGCGGCAGAAAAGAATCATAATAATTTGCAAGAGCCACAGGAACGCGGGGCATTAAGTTATGAAGATGCCCTACGCTTGGCAGCAGGTCGTGAACCGCAGCCAGAGCCGCGAAGGGGTCAAGGAACAGGCTCAAAGGCTCATGTGGGGGTCCAATCTCTTATAGAAGCGATGACTTGGATAGTTTCCTTTTCGCTGTTTAATTGGAAAGTGCTTCAGGGGTGGAGTAGGGACAGAGAGCAATAGCTTGTGGCCTTTCATTATATTCTATATCACATCTAACCAGAGGGAAAATTTAGATTTGAAGATCAGAAATAATTGTAAATATTTTTCCATTATTTATCTCTAGCTTTGATTCTTTGCCATTTTTATGTCTGATTGATGGCTCTGTGCTGCATAGAAATCTCATCAGCATCTTGCTGTTGCCTTTATTGCCATGCCATATCCTTTCATATCCTTTCCATATCCTTTTCCTTCCCGTATTCTCGTGTAGCGCATCGCGACTTCGACTTGCGCCGCCACCATAAACATGCCACACACTAAGCGCCGTTGCAACATGACTCGCTGACAACAATGCAACTCTTTCACCGCTGCTGCACCTACATACACACACCGACTCGCTCCTCCTCCTGCCCCCTCAGCAACCTCCTCATTTCTCGCACTATGGCTTCCTTTGGCCATTTTTGCCATGGCTTAAAATTTCGCGCTTTGCGCAGTCTTTTTTTTTGGGGGTTGCAACGGCAACGGCAACGGTTGCCAGCAAAACGTAGGCCCAAAACGGAGCCAGACAACAGCGAAGGCCGGAAGAAAATTGCATGCAGTGGCAGTGGCAGGGACAGGGGTAGCGGCAGGGGCAGGAGAATGTGAAACGGGAATGGGAACGGACCGACCTGGGGCATATGGGCACATGGGCACATGGACACATGTGGCTGGCTGTTCGAGTAGGCGGAGCACGCGAAAATTAAACTTTTTTTGTTCCCCTTCTTTCTTTCGTTCTGTGGTGTTTGCCCGTTGGTGTTGCTGCCGTACGTTGCCTTGGTTGCAAGTGCTGTTGTTGCCTGTCTGCAGTGCGCGCCAAATGTAAACAAAATATTCGCGCGCCTGCCATAATTATGGCAACAACAGCCGCAGCAACAACAGCAGCAGCAACAACAGCAGCAGCAGCAACAACAGCAGCAGAAACAGCAACAACAGCAGCAATCAGCAATAAGCAACCAAGCATTGCCCTCAATGCTGCCGCTGTCTGGCTGGCTTTTGTTTTTTGGTTGGCCAGTCGCCGCCGCTGCCACCGCCACTGCGCTTAACCCAGCCCCAAGTTGCAGCCCCGGCCCCACTGCCATGCACTTCATTAGCACCATCATTGGAGTCGTCGTTGTCGTTGTCGCGGCGGTCTTATTAGGGGTATGCGACTCGGTCTGGGTCTGAGCACTTGGGGGGGTTTGGTTTCTTGACGACATCGTCGCGTCGCCATTTGCCGACACATATCCGTCATGGCCGCCTCGCAATACACTTGTTAATTATCTCAATTGAACGGCACTCTGCTCTCTCTCTCTCCCCCCCGACCCAAGATGGGTGATAAATCAAATTGCCAAAACATTGCATTATCTCAAATCGAAGTCTTTGAATACGAAATTAAAGTTTCCATCGAACGCATGTTCTATCCAAAAAAAAAAAAAAGGCACAGAGAGAGGCAAAGAAAATGAAAGAAAACAATTTCCCTAATGCGTTGAAAAACTGTTAATGGCATTAAGCCGGGTACAACGGAATCAGTCAAGGATATGCAGGCCAAACAACCGCCGCCCGTCGCCCTCCGCCTTGAGGCTGGGGAAGTCGAGACGTTGCCGCCGGGCAAACATGAGTGATGCGCCGATTTAAACGGCAATTCATCAATGTCAGCCAAGAGCCAAGCGGCAGGGAGCAGGGGGGGGGGGGGCAGCACCCAGTGTGGGTGGGTGGTTGGGCTAATGCCACTTCCTTGCTTTCCTTTGCTTTCGCTTGCCAGAGGGGTGGGTGCGGTGCCACCATTTTAAACTGTGGATTGGTCCTGTGCGGCAGCCTCAACTTTAATTTCCGATTTGCTTGCTTATCGCTTGCTCTTCTAGCCAGAGTCTGGGCAGGATCTGGGCAGGGTCTGGGCAGGGTCTGGGCGTTGGTCAGCCAGCGCTGCTAGCCGGTTGCCGGTTGCTGGCGCTGCTGGTCTTTAGCTTTGGCCACACATTTACAAAATTCCATTAAGATTTTTATCATATTACATACGCAGCAGCCACAGCAGCAGCCACAGATACAGCAAGTCCCCACTCCAAGAAAAAAGTCACCCAGCTAAGAGCTAATGGCCAAGGAACGTAGTTTGAACTTCCTTGACCGCCGAGCATAAAATCTTATAGTTTTGTTTTTCCCTCTTTCGGTCAAGTCAACCCTTATGGAGCGCCCCCCGGCCACTCTACCCGTTCGTGTGTACCTTTGCCATCCGGGCATCCTTTTTTTTGGTTGCTCCCCTCAAAGGATTCCTGCGTCGTTCTGCTTAACATAAAGTGGCGCATAACAAATCTGTTTATTTGTATTACACATCCGTTGGATTGGAATCGACTCGACTGGACTTCCGCTAGGCAGATCTGAAGCAACTTTGAACTGCAGTTTGAATAGTTTTTGCCTCCGGCAATTTATTTTTACTGCCGCATTCAGGACAGGGCTGAGGCCGTTTAGCCAAGCTCTTTGATGGCCCCAAATGGAAATCTAATTGGACGCGATGACCGAGCTAAGAAGCTGCCGCTTGCCGTCATTTCAAAGGGTATTGGGTCTAAATGGGATGCTAGGGTCTTAGCGTGAATGGACTGCGGATAAGGACTTCGATTGAGTCACGCAGTTGAGGTTTGCCAAGTGGTTGCCCGCCCCACAAATCCCGCTGACCGTGCGGACCCCTTTCGACCATGCACACACACAATCTTGTTTGCATTTCCCACCCTAATGGCCATATAATCAAGGTTCCAATGGCGCCTCGCCTCGCCCGCTATCGTTTACATCATCGTGCACCCATCAGAGCTCCCAGGCCCACCCCATTGACGCAAGCCATTCATTGGGAGGGAGCCCATGAGGGAGGCAAGGTAATCTTATCAACCTGCCACGCCACGCCAGGCCAGGCCCCGAACAAAAAATACCCACTAACTACGAAGTGGGGTCGACGAAGCTCTCTCCCTCTCTTATCAGTTGGAGCAGCAGCAGCAGTATTGCGGCTGTGTCAGCGAGTGGCACTGCGGCTGAGGGTGGGGCCAGACCAGGCCGGGCCGGGCTGGGCCGCTGCCTAGGCAGCCAGTAAGAGATTCCCGTGGAGATCCCGATAACATCTCTGACGTGTGTGCGCCCCATTGGCCGGAATCTGGTGTGTTGGGAGTGGTAGGTGGGGGGTAGAGGGGCTTTAGTTTGGACTCACCGTTAAATGCTGAAACAGCCACGCTCTCAATATGTTGGTTGCTACTTTTGGGAAAATGCCACGTTTCTTTTGGTTCTTTTTGCCGCTGGAGTCGTCGTCCTCCTCGCCGGTGCCCTCGCCACTTCCTATGCTGGCGTTGCTGGCATCACCTGGAAAATGGGAAAGAAAATGTTGGTAGAAAGATGAGTACTGCACTGCTCAGAGATCTGTTCTATGCCTTTGCCTAGCCTATGTCAATGTTGTCCCCGTCCCATACTCTGCCACACTGCCTCTGAGGCTGAGCATCAGTCTCTGCTCTGGTGCTGTTTGCTCTGCTGGTTTATGGCTGTTTGTCAAGTGGGCATAAAATTACTTTACTAGCCATAACGATAATCATATGGATGACATTGTTTGTGGCTGCCGTTCAAGACACTGCAGGTCACCGGACTGGATCTCTCTGGGCTCTGCTCTTGCTCTTGGGTCTTGGGTCTTGGTCTTGTTTAGAAACAAAATTAATATTTGTCAGGGGTCGGCTGCTACTGGAGCTGTAGCTGTAGCTGTTGGAGCTTCTTTGGTAATGTTCGTGCATAATTTTTGGTTAATTTAAATTTTCCAGGCTTTTATCTTTTGTTTGCCCTGGCCAACAAATGCCTTTCTCTTCTCCCAACACCACCACACAGAGGCGTTTCCGCTTTCGGTCTTTGTTTTCCCTCTCATCATCATCATGACCATCAGTACTGGGATATCTTTTTGGATTTTGTATATTTTTGTTTAATATTAAGTATGTTATTTGTGTGTTTACCTAAAGTTTTAGTTACACTTAAGTAACTCAAATGCCCCTCAAACAGGAAGCCCAAATCGCTGCGCACATGCAAACAAAATAAACCAGAGACACCCCAGCCCAATCCCCCCATCAGAGATTGCATAATTTCACGCTCCTCGGCATACCCTCGGTCTGCATTCCACCCCCATCACCATCATGCTCATCATCAGCCTCATCAGATTTCGGGCCAAAACAAATATTTCCCAACACCAAACATGGTGCGGTGCGTCGCCTACGAATGTCTAACTTGGTAGCCATTGCCATTGCCACTGCCACTGCCTCTCCTCCTTAGATCGCTTTTGGTTTGCTTTGGTTTGCTTTGGTTTGGTTCGGTGCTGGTCTTGCTGTTCCTTGAGTGGTTCATAAATTTTCCATGCTTTATCTTTTGCACAACACCTTTGGCATTTGCTTTCGCTCCACCTTCACTGTGGCTGCTTTTCATTAATTTTTCAGTTAACTCATTCATTAATTTTCACACTCTGAGCTAAAAGTATATGCACAGTAGCCACACACACACACACACACACACACACACAGTCGGACAGCCACAAACAGCGACGAAGACGGAGACGGACATGGTGGCAGACTTCACGCCATTTTGCGTAAACCGGAAGTTCGTTTTGATTAATTTAGTCGCCGATGGAGACGTTCGCTCATTCGTTCCATTCCGGCCAGGTCTCGACAGAGGGGCCGGGTGGGGTGTGCTTGATTTTCTAAACATACCATAAAACAAAAGCTGATGGTGGGCATACCAAATAAAAAATAAAACACACAACCGAACAGAAACCAGAAGAACACCACGCGAGAAAAAGCAGAACACTGGATACCCTCTTGCTCCACGATGAAGGTGGGAGAGGGGGAAGCAGAGCCACTAACCAAATCAGTGGACTCCACACCGGAAAACCCTCTGCGGGGGGAGGAGGGGTAGAAGAAAAAGCGCATTGCATTAAAAGTTGTAAAATTAATTTACCAGAAACACCCGAAAAAAAGAACAAAAGAAGTTCCCAAAACAATCACTTGTTGGACCCTTTCTAGCGCCTCGCCCGCTCCGCTCTCTGGCTTGCATAATTTAGCAATTATGGAAATGCGTCGCCCCAATGAGATAGGCGCTGAATGACCAACCGAATCTGGCCAAATCGGAGAGGAGACCGACCCCGAGACCCACAGACAGCTCGGAGCATGCGGAGGAGTCCATTACGGAGAGTGGTAGAACAGATGCCGCCCGCTCTTCTGGGCCTTATCGAACTCTCTTCTCTCTCTTATCGCTCTCTTAGGCTCTCTGCCTGAGCTGCACTTTAGCCGGAGCAACAACGCATTGAGCAACTAGCTGCTGGCACTTAACAACTTCATTAAAAGTTGTTTATGATCCTCGAAATTGATTATTCCACTCGTACGGAAAGCGGAGACGAGGCTCCAGAGTCGCGAGTGGGGAGGCCAGAGGAGGCCACGGACTGTGGCACTCAAATCGCGACGGGCGCGCGCTTAAGAAAACATGAAATTGATTAATGCATTTGCCTGCAACATGGTCAGGAGATGGAGTTGGAGTTGGGGGCTGCGACGACGACTGCGACTGCAACTGAAGATGGGTATGGGATGGGATGCGATGGAATGGAATGGAATGGATTGGGACTGGTGCAAGAGCCAGCCACGGTATCTGCTGGTGATATGTAAATTCCTTCAAGTGGATTGCACTTTACGCCGACGACTCTCGATGCGCCGCCGCCACCGCCGCCTCTCGTCTTTCGTCTCTCCTCACTGCCAGCATTTCGAAGCAATTTCTGTGTGTGTGTGGGGTTTTTTTTTTTTTTGTTTTTGGTTTAGTTTGGTTTGGATTTCGGTTTGGTGTGTGCTCCCATTTCCATTTCCAGAGACCCAAACACAATTAATCTTTGGCAAGAGCCGCATCTTCGTCCCCGCGACTGCCCCGCGACTGCTATCCGAATGCTGCTTATTATTGTTATAATAACGATGTGCAAAAGCACTTGTGCCACTTGAGCGGGGCACTCGTGTAACAGGGAGATTAGGACGGAGGCCCTGAGTCCGCAGAGTCCGCAGAGGATCGGTGCGTATCTGGGGCTGCCGCCGCCAAGTGCCAGCGGATGGGATGGGGTTGGGGGATGGGGATGGGATTCGGGTTTGAAGCTTTCCAAAGTGCTTTTCGCTGTACCCGCTGTACGGGCGAGACGATAAAGCCGCTTGCATTTTTCTTTTAATTGAATTGTTAAGCGCAGCGCAAAACTTAATTAATTTCCACTATAACTTTGTCGACTTTATGGGGGCCCAACTCCAGCTACCCCAACTCCCAGCTCCCACAGCTGCCAGCTCCCAGCTCCCTGTTCGCAGCTCGCAGCTTCTGGCTCCGATTCTGCCGCCCCTCGATTCCCAATAAGTTGTTGCTGCTGTTTTTTGGTGTGCCGAGGGGAGTGGGGAAATAAATTTGATGCCGTCGCAATTTTCGTTGCCATTTCTGTCGTGGGCGAGGGGGTGGGGGGTGGTTGGTTGGTGGTTCATTCGCATTCGTTGGGGCGGTCGGGCGCTTCTTGTGGCAAGCATTTTTATTTATTATTGGCTTAAAGGACGAAGGATGCAGGAACCAAAGACGCCATTTCAGAGGCAGACAGACAGACAGACATGTGTGTCTGTGTGTGTGTCTGTGTGTCTGTGTGTGTGTGTTGGTATTGTTGCAAGAAACCTTCTTTCCTATTCCAGAACAAAAACCGAAAAAAAGAAATAGTTTCCCCAGTTGTTGTTGTTGGACTGTGCTCTGCTTGCCACATTTTCATGTTTGTTTTCTGTACTCCCTTTTCCTTCTCCTCCTTTTTTTTTTCTGTTATATTTTTTTTTTTTTTGTTGCCTTCTACAATTGCGCAAAATTCCAATTTGCAGTAAATTTTGCGATTTTTCCTTTATACGGACATACAAAACATTTTTAGTTTCCTGCTGGCTTTTCCTTGCCTGCTGCCCTCCTTCCCTCCCTCCCAGGGAATGCAATTATAGAGTAAAGCTGACCCAAAATGCTTGCAGTGGAGAAGGTTGAGGAAAGTTCCTCGATTGATTAAGATTTCTGCGTAGCAAACGGGGCAACTCCTACTAAATCTTTTGGACTTCAATTAGATACCAAAATGTTTGCTTTCTATACGGATTTCCCAGAGAAATCTCAGTGAAATAAATGTATAATGTAGGAGGATGGTAGCCACACAAATAAATATCTGTGGATTCTGCATAAAATTCAATAACAAAATGCACTTTCCGGACAGCAAAAACAAACAAATTGTACAAGAAACAAACAGGGAGAAAGAGACCGCCAGGGAAAAGCAGAATGAAATGCGAATAGAGACTGTTTTCCCACTCTTCTGGCCTGGCAAAATATTTCCAAACTACTTGACTGCACAGTGAGGAAAGAGGAGGGGCAGGGGGAGGGGCAGCAGTTCCGAGCAGTTTTCAATTAGTTTTTAAATAAACTTTTCCTCACAAAATGAAAAATGCCAAATGCCCCCTCTATGCCGCACTCGCCAAGAAAACTTTCCATTTTCCATCGGCCGATTGCGATGGCGAGTGTGAGTTTTTCCCATTTCAAACTGTTTTTGCGCCTGGCGCGTCTTTCAGGGGCCCAGGCATTTGTTTATACAAATCCATGCCAATCGTCTGTCAATCATTTTCCAATAGGAACGCACCGAACCGAACCGAACCGGGTCCCAGTCCGGGCACCAGAGAATATGGCGGAAGTCTGCTTAGACTCATCGACATGGACCGGCCCCTGTGCTCGAGTGCTTTGCCACTGGTTCGGGACTGTGGCTGTGTCTGTGGCTGTGTCTGTGTCTGGGCCTGACCGTCGACCAACTAACAACTAATTGAGTTCTGCTTTAAATGATAATAAACAGCAGCCGGGGCGGCGGCAGGAACAACAGCAATTGTCTATTGGGGCACGGCACTGGTAGTCAGCGGACTGGTACGTGCAGATTGCGACTTGTGTGCCTTTGGGGTCGGTAATTGAATTCAAAACATGTCAAAAGAAATCAGCCAGAAACGCCTTGGGTGGCCACTCCAGCAGCAATGTTGGGGAACGTTTGTCACAAGAGCTCCAAGACACCCAAGACACCCGAGTCCCGTACCCAGCTACAGCTTCAGCTGCAGCTCAGCAAACACTTGAGCCAGCTGTGTGCTGTTCAAGTGTAGGCAAAGAAGCTGCGCTTGAGCTGAGCCTCCAACTTGAACACTTCAGCAGAAGCAGCAGCAGAGGCAGAAGCAGCAGCTACAGCAGCCACACACATGGCTCACAAAAGCTAAGAAAAGGGCGTCATCATCATCAGCTACACCAACAACTTGGCGATTGTCAAGTGGGTGGCTGACTGAACAGCAAACACTAGAGCCGGGATCCAAAGTGAGACCTCCAAAGGTGTTGGCGCGCTTATTAGCCACCAGCCACCAGCTTGAGCTGCCGGGGCATGATTTATGTGACTGCATTTGTGGCTTTGCTCGTTTCAGTGAAACGTTTAATTGAATCGAATTGAATCTCTAGCCAACAGTGATAAAGATCTGCGATTAATCTAACTTTAGTCGGGATCAGCAGTGACAATTATACGCCAGTGCACGAGTCCACAAATGATCGGCCAATTAATAAAGCTCTAGCCGGAGAGTACCAGTGAGTGAGTGCCTGTGAGTGAGTGCCTGGGCTACGACTTAATTAAACATTGAATAATGTGCACCGCTGAACTCTGCTTTGATCGGCAATGCCAATTGACATGATCTATTGGCTGCAAGTGCGGAATACTTGCACATTTTGGTAGCCCTTTGCACATAGTTCTCTTCCAGCCTGTGCAATTTTGCTGGCCAATTTTCATGTGCGAATAACCCCAAAAAAAAAAAAACAGGATGAATAAACTGCAAATTATCAGAGGCCACAGAATGATGATGGATCACCCAATCGCGCAACGCCATAAAACGGCAACAAGTCAATAAGAACAACAACCTCAGCTCGGTACAGCGCTGGCCAGCAGACTCCAAAGTCAATAGCAATTTTTGTGGCCATTTTTTTTTTTGATTTGGCGGGGTCTCTTCCCAGAGAGTAGCGGCAGCACACACAAAAAACAGTTTGAAGTATTAACACAAAAGCCGCTTTGGCTTTTGGCTTTGCACCGTCCCCTACCCTACCCTACCCTCCCTCCCCCGAACCACTATGTACGTGTACATATGGAGAGGCTTTTTATGGAGGATTTGTGTGATCCGCTGCAATATTTTGAGCCCCGGCAAACCAGGCGAACCAGACAAAACCAGGCAAACAGCCACGGCCAACGGGGCATCATCATTGTCGGCTTGTTGCATTGTTTTGGCCGGCAAACAACCGGGCGGAAAAAAAATGAGAATAATAATAAAAATAATAATAATGTTGCAAACAAAAAAGGCAAAGCAAAGCAAAGCTGTTGTTGGTAGTTGCTGCGGGATGCTGCAACATGTTCATGCCTCATTATTTTCGTACGGATTTTTGCGGTTCGCTTGGATCATGAGAGGCAGAAGCAGAAGCAGAAGCAGCCTTGGACCCGTTGGATCTGGGACTCGACTTTGGTTCTCAGGCTGCTGCTGCCAATGGCTGGTGCTGGTGCTGGTGCTGGAGCTGTTCCATTCATTCAATAGGCTTACTTTTTGCGCTTTCCAGCCTCAAATTGCAAAAAGTTTATTAAAATTCCAAGCCAGGCAATACACACAGAAAAAAAACACCGAAAAAGCCAACACATGTTTTCACGCCTACCCACAGAAAAACTCGAACCAAAAAATGGCTTAAAAAAGAAAGAAAGAAAAAAGCTGTCGGAGGCAACCGCCTTATATGCAGATTAGCCATATGTGTAGCCGCGGTCCCAGTCTTCAGACTTGAGTCTTGAGTCTCCAGTCTCGCCCCGGTCGCTGTCGTCTCTCCCTCTGCCTCTCCCTACACATATGCAAAATCAAATTATTCAAATTCAATTATTGTCAATTTTATTTATTATTAATGCGCATAATTGTCAAATTTGCCAAATTTATGAACCTCTTTCGAGCGATACACACCGAAACCCACCATACTCGTATATCGTTCATATCGTTGTATGGGTGCGTACATCTGTGTGTGTTTGTATGTATGTGTAAGGGAGCTTTATGCAAATGCCAGGCACCGCAGATACCTCCTGGACAGGATTGTCTCTTTTTTCTTTCGTGGTGTGCGCCTCGCGCTCAATCCGCTCGAATTTATGAGACATGTTGAAATGCATCTCACCTTGATTATGTGGATGTGGATGTGCATGTGCCACGGAGTGGGGACCGCGACTCTGGCTGGGATTGAAACTGAGCCTCAGACTGAGGTCTGAGCTCTCTGAGGTCTCTGAGCTGATCTGCCACCAAGGGAGTCGGGTCTCTGCCATTGGCTGAGGCTTGTCTCACAGCACACAGCTCCGAAGATTAATGGCAGCGGGTTTAATTTGTTTTTGGGTGTTCTCCCCGACAGAGTGTTAGGCTTTGGGAGTGGGCTGCAGCTGCAGCTGGGGCTGGGGCTCGGATTCATTATTCTTTATGCACTCGCATTGACACCTTGCGTGGCGTGGTGGAGTGGTGCGGGGGCTGGGGGGTGTCCACAGGTGACTGACTTGAGCTGAATCTGATTCCCTTTGACTTGGGCCCATGAACCTTCCTTCAGCCCTGCTCTGTCTGCTGTTTTTCTTTCCCTCTGCTCTACGTTTATTTTCTCTGCGGTTCGTTTTTTTTTATTATTTTATTTTATACATGATATTAAGCAATTCATAAGCGTGTAATTTCGTTTAGCGTACAACAAACGAACCACAAAAAATAAACACAGGCAACAACAACAACAAAATAAAAGGAATGTCTGCAGTTGATTTTTGACATCAAAATTGCAGTCGCGCCGCAGCAGACAACGCGGCAAAGTCAAGGCGGGCCCCACAGCACCAACGGGCAACCCAGACAGACATTGGGGATGTTACCCTTCTTCTTCCTCTTCGTCTTCCTCTTCAGCTTCCTTCCTGCCGCCTGCCCCTGCCACTTGCCCTTCTCGTGCTTCCTGGGTTGTCTTCTCTTTTTTCCATTTTTTATTTTGTTTTTTTTTCTTCTCTTAATAACACACTGAAAATGTTTTTTTAACAGCATGAAAATTATAACGCATCAGTCACGAAACACGAAGACAACAACGAAACTTTGTTTGTTGCACTGCACTCCCCTCACCGTCCCACCCACCCATCAGCCCCTCCTAGGGATTCGACTGCATGTGAAAATCTTTCAGCGCCCAAGTGCAAAAAACGTTTTTCTCCCCGTCTCTCTGTGTGTGTTACCCCATTTTGTGCAGCTTTGTCGGCCATATTGGAGGGGAAAAGTCAGGCAAAAGAGTGAGTGAGCGAGCGAGAGAGAGAGAGAGGGCAGAAAGGGAGGTACTATGCAGAAAGAGACAGCGAGAGGGCGAGCAAAAAAAATAAGCGCACTTTTTTTCCAGCCAACAAAATGGTTTATTAACTTGAAAAATAAGGCTCGGGAAAGGAAGGGAAAAGCCAACAAAACAGAAAACTAAAAAAAAGTCTAGAAAAATGTTCCGCATTCGTTTTCAGTTTTAGAATATGCAAATTAAGTGAAATAACAACAGAACAAAAACGGCATAAATTATAAAATGAAAAAAAAAACACACAGAGACTCCAAATGAACAACAGAATCTAGAGATTGGATGGCAGATGGGAGATGGAAGATTGAAGATGGGATCAGATGAATCTCTGAGTTTTGGGGGCCCGCTCGGCAACTGTCTAATAATAATGAAATATTTCCAGCTCGAACCCCACCATTATCAAGAGGGAAGAACACGCTTGTAAAGATATGTATGCTGCTGCTGCCGCTGCTGCTGCTGCTGTAGTTATTTATGTTCCCTCCACTAATTTCGAATTTGAATCTTTTGCTGTGACCTTTCATGCCTACCACGCCAGATCGATACGACTGTGTGGATGTATTTTTTTTTCTCTTAATTTTGAAAGCGTATTAAATTACATATACTCGTAGAGGGAGACCCAGAGCCCCTTCGCCCGCCCCCTTAAGCGGCAACAACCAAATTGAAACAAGAATTTCAAGTATGTTTAACCCAAAACACAACACACACACACACACACAAGCAAACTGGGAATCAGAATCAGAAACCAAAACTGAAACAGAACCGAAAACCGAAAACTGAAAACTGAAAACCGAACCGTACTGAACCGAACCGAAAAGAAGAGTCAAAAACAGGCCTCCTCCTGTTCATGCCATGGGCATGCCTGGGCTTAAAGTATTTCACAGGAAATCTTCGGAAACGAAATGAAACGAAACGAAACCCCAGCAACAATATGTTCTACACATTTCTCTTCCCCTGCCCCAACCCCATCCACATCCCCATCCACATCCTCATCCCAATCTTCTTTCGCTGTTGGGTGTGTGAGAAATCGAAATCCCAAAAACTAAATCCTATAATGCCTTAAAGGGGCACAGCACAGCACACACACACAGAGACCCGACCAACAGACCAACCGACCGACCCGCACTCCTCACGCACGGCTACATTTTGAAATATCTCTCCCTGGATGTGTGTGTGTGTGTTCGGTTTTGGTATTTCTTTTTTGTTTCACATCCCCAGCCAATGCCCCACACCATGCCCCATACACCATACACCATACCCCATACCAATTCCGAGTCCCTCCATTCAAAAGTCACAGGGCAGGCCCTGGCACAGTCACAGGCACAGGCCCGAGCGTGCGCTCACTCTATAATAATGATAAGATGGCTCTTAATCAGAAAATTTATATGCCCCGGCATTTAGTTGTTCGTTCTCTCTGGCCCGGACTGGCCTCACGCTCACGCTCACGCTCCCCCCCAACCAGAACAGAACTCAACTGGACGGATCCGAGCAGTCTTGAACCGAACTGATGATGGGTTATGCTCGTTTATAATTATGGGTCCTGTCAGGGGCTAAATGAAAGCCGCATCTCAAACTCAAACTCAAACACTACAATTTTCAGTTTAGAGCCAGACGAAAGGAGTGAGAGAGAGAGATCTGCTGCTTGCTATGTCTTTCCCTGTCCCTTGATGCTGAATCTGCCATTTTGGCCGAAAGTGGACCAAGGAACTTTCTGTTCGTGGGGCGTGTCACCTTCTTGCGCCTCCCGTTTTCATTTCATTCAAAAAAAAAAAATACAAAAAATTATATTTTAATAAAGAGAAAACTTACCGCTTGCACTCGTTCCAAAGTTGTCTGAAAGTAGAACAAGAAGAGTGGGAATTAGATAATTATTTGGCCAAGAGCAACCTGTCTGTCCCACATAGCCCAGAAATATTTCTCAGCCCTAGCTACAATAAATCTTCCCGTATTTGCTGTGGCCCAGCGCGTAACCCAAACACACAAAACATTTCAAAAACCCAAAACCAGAAAAAAAAAGATTGAAAAATTTCGTGCAGACTTTGACCGCAAATTGTTGTAGTGCCCGTCGCAGTGGTTTTTGTTGGCTATAAAATATGAGATGTATATTCACACGCAGCATAGACCCAAGCAAGGGCAGCGACAGAGGGAGAGTCGGGGCGAGCAATCAATCAAAACTATGTGAAGCCTGTGGAATCAACGCCAAGTGTGAACCAAAAATATTTGGAGCAAATCAAATGCAGTCCCAGTCCCAGCAAAAAGCGAAAAGGTAAAGTCCGTTTCGTTTCGGTTCCGAATTTGTTATATACACGTATAAACATTTTAGTTTATTATTTTTACTTTGTTGTTGTGGCTGGGAAACCTACAGCCATACATCTTCTCTTTTATTTGTTTGATATTTTCGCACGCAAATCATTTGGGAAGAATTTTTTGTATGATTTCGCTTTGGGCATTATGCAAATGTCTGCTTGGGGCTTAAGTATCTATAGAATATCCCATATCGGGCAGATCTTCAGCTGAGTTTGCTGAACTAATCTCTGGCTTAAGGCAGGGTCTCTTTCCTCCGATCATTCGGACCTGAGTCTCTGCTCTGCGCCACGTCTGGCGGTGTCATTTAGTCAGTTTGTAATGACATGGCTAAGAGTATTTTGTGAACTTGGTTTGTCTGCTTCCCTGCCCTCTGGCCTCCCCAGCCCATGTCCCCGATCCAGCTCAATTGCAGCGCTGGCATCTTCCATCTCCCATCGTCCATCTCCATCTCCGTCTGCAGTGGACGCGTTCTTCTTGTCATTTAAGTCATCGAACACGCATTGGTACAATGTACATGGTGTCGGTGTCGGGTTTGTTGTCGTTTCTCCTTCTCGTACTCCATCTCCAACTCCATCTCCATCTGCAGCCCCATGGCCATTGCTGTGTGGATGTCAGTGTCCTGGAACGGCCATTGCCAGCCAGCCAGTCAGTTCCCGTTCCCTGCCCTCCCCTTTTCTGCTCCTGCTTCCAGCGCAGTTCATAAATAATCGTCTTAAGTTGATGGCAATGCGGTGACTGTCGACGATTGCTGGGTGGCGTGGCACTCGCTGCAACTGATGGCCTCTATGCCCGACTCGGTTCTCAGCCCCAGCCCCGTTCCCGTCCGCAGATTAAGCCCGACTTCGACTGGGCTGTCCAAGCCCTGCTTGAGTACTTAACATTGCATTTCGAAAATGAAAAGGAACAGAAATGTACACGGGTATCGCTGCAGTGCAGTTCAGTGCCCAAAAGAAAGCCGGGGGAACCGTTCAAATATTCCAAAAACGTTTCAATGAATGTCAGCAACGCATTGCTTCAATTTTTTCACCGTCTCCCCAAAGCCGCGCTCTTAACTCGCCAAAAAAAAAACCAAAACAGAAAACTGAAAACAGACGAAGAGTCAGCCAGCCAGTCAGCCAGCAAGCAAGCACTTTGGTCGTGTCTGATCCCATTTTAATATTCTAGATACTTAAATAAAATACGTGTCTGGCCTGGCCAACAAACGTTTATTGTTTGTTAATTGATTTCGCAGCAAAGTTCTCTGCTCTGCTCTGCTCCTCTGGTTAAAATGCAAAGTGCAACTTTTCTCAAAACCGAAAACAAAACGAAGAGCAGAGCAGAGCAGAGCAGAGCAGAGAAACTTTGCACAAGCCTCAGGCCTGAAATGAACTGAAACCGAACTGAACTTGTATTTGGTATGCAAAATTTGTTTGCCTTGCCTCTGGGCCAGGCCAGGCCGGGCCGTCCCAGGCCAAGTCATCTTCCTCTACCTCTACACTGCGCGCGATACTCCTCAGCTGCTTTGGGGGCTTTGGCTTTGGCGTTGGCTGGTGCCGGTGCCGGTGCTGGTGCTGGGGGCTTTGGCTTTTGGGCGCAATTAATTTGCAGACAGCGAAGCAGCCTTGAGGCTGCCAACAGTTGACAATTGTCAAGGACTGCGACAACTTGGCGGCAAGAGTCAACGTTGTTCGTCTGCCTGTGGTTGCCGTTGCTGTTGCAGTGCTGTTGCCGTTGTCTACTTTGGCCTGACAGCTGACAGTCGGCGGAGACTTGGATACTTTGTCTCTGTGTCTTGGACTTGGGTCATTTAACGGTAATTACCAAAACGCTCTTCGCACAAAAAGCTTTGCGCGAAAGAAAACTGCCCTGGAAAACGCTTGCCTCTTCTCGGCCAGCTTTTCAGACACCACCAAGAGCCAAAAGCCAACAGCCGCCGCTCAAGTGCCGACAAAGCCGGCCAAGTGAAGCATAAAAATGAAGCACCCAAAACGAAGAAAAACCTTTAGAAGAGCAGCCAGCCAAAATGGAAGAGGCAGCAGCAGCAGCAGCAAAGGCAGAAGGCAGCCACACGATTTTCCATTTGGGCCCAACACACAAAGTTGGGAGAGACGAGACTCTCGAGCGCGACTCAAAGTCTATTTATGTGACTATTGAAGTGGGCCTTTCGGCTCTTGGGTTCTTCTGGCTGGGGCCTTCTTCAAAAATACAGTCCCAGCCAGTCCCAGCACACATACTCCATAATACTCCATCCAGCCCTGAAGAGGCTGAATCTGAAGCTGAACTCAGTCTGTGGCTGTGGCTGAGACTGAGGCGGCTTTGGCTTTGATTTTTGCTTGATTTCTTTCAAAATCGGGCGGCTTCGGATCCGCTGAAGCAAAATAGAGATGCAGAGCAGAGTCGAGTCGAGTCGAGCAGAGCCGAGAGTGGAGATGCTCGAGTTGTGGTTGTTGTTCCTCTGGCTGGTGCTGCTGCTGCTGTTGTTGTTGCCTGTTGCTGTTGTTGCATGTGCATTGACTGTGACGCCATTTTCAGGCAGACAACCCAAGAGTGGAGCGTATGCAAAAGAGAGACTCTGACTGAGGGCTGAGACCCAAGCCCAGGCCCAGGCCCGAGCCGAACCGAACATGTCCAAAGGCAAACCGCCAAAAGGATAATCAGCAACAATTTAGTATTATTACACCACGTTCGAAGCCATCGAAGAAGCACCCAAGCAAGCTTGTCTGCGGCGGAGGGGTGAGGAAGGAGGTGGAGGAGGAGCTGTGGGCAGAGGCAGAGGCAGCCACACAAAGTTGTCTGTCAGAGCCGGGGCTGGCTGATTCTCTTTCCGTGCTTCGTTCTCCCTCTTTAAGCCGGGTCCAGGCCTGGCCTGGTCTGGCCTGGCTGAGCTCTCAAGTATGCATTTCAAAGAAAATCATTATTATCGATGCGGCAAAGGCAACTCCAATGGATTTAGCTCAGGCTTAGGCTCAGGCTGAGGCCGCGGATGCGGCTGTGGCTGTGGATGAGGAAGAGCCAGGCAGTGCCTCAAGTTTACCTTTTGGTATTTTCACGTAGTCGTAGATTGAGTTTCAATGGAAAAATGATTTGCAAATTGACTTTAACGAATTGCTAGAGTGAGCAACCTGCTGTTGGGGCATATGGCATGCTTTTTTCTGGTTGCTTTTGGGCATGTTATGGAATTTTGATTACAGCATTTGCCCGCCAAGAGGAGCGCAGGCGGAGGAGATCGCCTCTCTATTAGAAAAGAGCTGCGGCTGGGGCTGCATGTAATTGGCACGCATTTGACTGGAGCCAGGGACTCCGAATACAATGCCCAGTGTCGGGGAGTGGGAGTCGGAGTCGGATCCAACTGGGAGTCTCCTTTGGGCCACTGCCATTCAAAAGACAATCGAAGGCGTATGCCTGGACTGGCCTGGCCTGTTCTGGCCTGGTCTGAACACAGCCATGTCTGTCCCGATGCCATTTTGATGGCCATTTCATTGGCATTGGCCAAGTTTAGGGCCGCAGGCGGGCCTCAATGACGTCGACGTCTGATCCATGGCCGATCCATGGCGGCCGCTATCAGCCGCACTCTCCGAACCAGTTGGTGGACTGAGACTGACTCTGGGACTGGGACTGTGACTCCACTCCAGTCGATCCCCGGCTGTTGGTTGCTTTTTGGCCGTTGGGCGATGCCAGTTCGTATATCATTATAGAAATTACCTACTCTCTGCTCTATGGCAGCAACGGCAACGGCAGCAGCAGCAGCAGCCGCTCCGGCAACGGCAGCAGCCATTGTTAGTATTTTGCCATTAACGTTAACTCTTTGGCACAATCTGAGCCGGTTGATCTCTTGTTGGCCGCCACATCGATGGGGCAGCAACAGAAATTAAAAGCAGCCAACCAACAACCAGGCAGGCCCAGCCCCGAGAGGCAACAAAAACTGTCAAGCGGAAGGCAAAGGCCGGGCAAAAAAAATTGATGTTGTAAATTATTGAAATCTAATGGAAACGTTGACGTCAGTTGGTCGCCTGATGATACCTCAAGTCAGCTGATAGGGCACGGGCATCCGTATCCGTATCAGCGGTGCACACTTAGTAGGAGCTGGACAGATGCAGGGATGCAGAGATACAGAGGAAGGAAATACTTACCAGGACTACCAAGGAAGACTGAGGAATACAGTCGCCTGGAGGCGTCTGCGTTGCGAGCATCGGCAGGTGAGGACCATTCTCTTCGACACCATCGTCCTGCAAGAGATAGAAAAGCCGCGCATTAGCATTGTGAAAAACTCCTTTTTTTAATTAGCTTAAAAATAGAAACAATGAAAGTTTTTTTTTGCTACGTACAACAAGTTGTACGTGAAATAATCAAAGTGAAACTCCGCTATAAATATCTGAGATCCCATGAGCAAAAACGAATAGCTGTTAATATCAGCAGTTGAACTACGCAAATAAATACACAGTGAATAAATTCATTCCAACTCTGTGTACCTTTGGATGCGAAAACATAAATTATATGTCCACAAATTAACCAAAGGCTCCACCACTTGGCTATCAGGCAGCGTGAAATAAAGTCTACAATTATTAATTCAATTTTCCACGTACCAAAGCCTTTCGTAAACTAAAACTAAAACTCATTTCCAGGCAAAGGCATCCACCACAGCATTAAGATCTTAAGCCACTCTAAGCCACACCGACTGACTGACACAATTTGCAACACTTGTCAACTTAATGCCTCTCCAGCGATATTGACAGCACGCTGAATATCTTAAGCCAACGCATATCTCTTCCATATTCATATTCGTATTCATATGGATAAGGTGCGACTGCCGACTGTCGACTGGGGTGGAAGGTGGACGGAGAATATTTGTCTTCGCTTTCGTCAAACGCCTTTCATTGAGTGACAGGTGCGCCTACAATTGCAGCCGAAAAGCAGCCTGCTCCCATAATCTCCCAATGAACCAAAAAGAAAACAACAAAAACCTCCAGTCAATGTCGTTGCTAAGGCAGTGTCTCTCCAGCCACAGCCACAGGCACTGCCCCCCCTCGTGAGTCAGCTGCGTGCCGCTTATCAGAAATCGGCCTACCATGACCACAAATATTACCTACATATATACTTACCGTATACCCGGGTGTTTTTATAAGAACCTCCTCAATGGACACTTTGCAGCCGTAAAACTTTAAATGAAATACGTAGTGTAAAAAAGCGAGCAAGAACGAATGAAAATGGCGCTAATAATAATTTGGTTTATTGGCTTTAAAGCACAATGAAGACGGCCAGAATAAAGAGGCGGAAAGTGGAAAGTGGAGGGGCGTGCCAGGGTGCGAGGGTGGGTGCGAGTCGGGTCAACCCCCGGCCAATCTGCACGGCAATTTCTATTATTTTTTTAAGCACTTTCTTCAGCTCAACTACGGGGGCAGACGCCCAGTCGACGCACCTTTATTTAAATTTTCATTCTTTACCATTTTTTTTTCTTCTTCTTTTCTGTCCAGCTCAAGAAGAAGGAGGATTGCGTGAAGGGGATGCAGGGGGCAGGGGGTAGTCTGCGCTTCTTTTTTTCCTCTTAATGGGCAATTTTCTTGGTAGTAAATGGGCACGTTTTATGAACGCTTTTGTGGGGTGTTTATGGCGGGCGGGCGGGGATGGATGCCGACTGGAGCCAACGCCAACCCCCTGGCCGAGCATCGAGCGATGGGCGTGTGTGCCGACGACGAGTGCCGAGTGCAGTCCGCAGCAGGGTTGACAGCAGTCTCGCAGTCGCGTCGCTCTTTTTAATGGAACATTAAATCGCCACTGACACTGCACCTGTCCAATTAAAATGTAACATAATCGCAGCGAAATAAATTTAAAATGCAAACCAAGAACAAACCAAACCAACAAGCAGCAAATCAATAATAAAATTAATAGAGTTTTCTTTGCTGCTGCTGCCAACAAGAGCGGCAACAAAACAATAACAACAACAGCAGCAACAACAACAATGAGCCACCGAAAAAATTGTTCGCACATAAATCTTTGCACTAAAAAATTTTATTGTCGTTTTTATTGTAAAGAAATAAAATTAAAAAAAAGACACAGAGAGAAAAGCAAAACAAAATGAGACAGAGAAGAGCCAAACAGTCTGCGGCTGTATGGCGGCGCTCTCTCAGAGAGCACACACACTCACACGCACACAGTTATAGCGATGTGCTGCTCTCACTTCTCACTCATTTCCCCTGACGACTGCCTTATCGTATCGTAAGTTGGCTGCTTACGAGCAAATATCGTAAGAAGGCAGCGCCATTTGCTTTGGCGAGCACGCCGCGAGTGTGAGCGGGACGAAGCTAGTGAAGAAGTCCAAGGCGAATTGGCAGAGCGAATTGAAATGCCAGTCAATGAGAGGAAACACTCTCCTCTTCTCCGCCAGCGACACGACCCGTTGTTGCTGTTGCTTGGTTCGAGCCAAGTTAATGATTTTCGTTCAGACTGTCTTGACTAATTCGATTTTGGATGAGTTTGTGCTTTTTTCCAACGGTTTCTTATGCAATATTAAATCAATAAACCAGCGGATTCGCCTCGCTTTAACCGTGGCACAAGCTTGAAAAATTCACTAAAATATAAATGTTTTTGAATTTATTTCGCTATGGTTTTATTGCACTATAAATTGAATATAAGAAATGCACTTTTATTTGGCAAATTTCACGCTACAGCTGATCGCTGAAACAACAAGAAATGAAATCTAAAAGAAACCCATTTATTTCTTGAGTTCTGTTTGCGAGTTAATTTGTAAAGATTTCTTTGTTTATGGGGCTTTTAAATGTCACAATTCTCAATTTTTGAAAATGTGCTAAAACATTTATTGTTTGCTTGTTTCCCCAAAATGTATTTTAAATTATCTTTCTGTGGCATTTTGTTGTTTTGTTGTTTTGTTGTTTCTTTGCTGCTTTTGTTTCGTGTTTCTTGTCGCTTTTTTATTTGCTTTTTGGCCTTTTGTCGGTGAAACGATTTTCATTTTCTATTCTTACTGGCACTATTTTTGGTGGCGACCCCATTTGCCGCTGTGCCTCTAGCTAAGTGTATTCTTCTCATCCTCTCCCTGTCCCTCTTGCCACCTCCCCCCTTCCCACTCACACAACCAATGCCGCCATGCATTGGGTATCTCTTGGGTGAAGTGCCTGTGGGGCTGATAAATGGCGCTTAGGCATTGATTAGATGCCAGCCAGCCAGCAAGCCAGCCAGCCTGCAGCAAGAGCAACAGACAAATGCATTTGCCTTATCACCAATGCACTCCACAGACACTGGCACACATTATAACCGACACCCATTACCCATTACCCTGGCCCCCATGTGCACCCCTGCCATTGCCACTGCCACTGGCCCCTGCCCGTGCTCTCCTCCTCATCACACAACACTCTTCCCCCCATGAAAAGAAAAACACAACAGTCAAAACGAAACGAAACGAATTTTCCATTTTCCATAGAGTTCTCCTCCTCCTCCTCCTCCTCTGCACCCTCCCCCCACAAAATGCCAGAGACTCTTCAATTCTATTCCGTCTATGTATGTCTGTCTCTGTGTGTGTGTGTGTGTGTGCCTCTGCTGTATCTGTGTGTGTGCTTAGATAAAATTGTGTTTCGAAAGTGACAGTTGAAATGATTTATCACTTGCCAGCGACTGCAAGGCGCAAACGCCAACGCTGCCATGCCCTGCCCTGCCCCCGGTCCCACAGCACCCTCCCTGCTGCCCACCACTTCTTGGCTGTCGTCAAAGTTTTTAGCACAAGCTCGAATGCCCTCCTCTGGCAACCCCACCCCCGCCTACTACCAAGGCATGTTTGGCATTTTTGTGTAGAAAAATTGAAAATTGCTTTTTTCGTCAGCAGCCGCCGCAGCGTACTCCACTCCCCGCGCCCTACCCTGCTATCAGGGGCAACTTCATCTTTCCAATTTTCTACTATTTGGCTTTGTGCCCCTCCAGCAGCAGGTCCTACTCCTCATCCTCCTCCTCCTCCTTCGCAACGCTCACTATTGTCGTTGTTTTTGTTGTTGTTGTTATCTGTGAGTTTTTCATATGAAAATTTAATTCCGGACTGGAAGCCCCTCCCACTACCCCTCCTTTCCACCCTACCAGCACACACAGAGTCATTTCCCATGCGAGCTAATTTAAAAATTTTTGTAATTTTTTCGCTTTGCTCTTTTGGAATTTTTGCAATGCGCGACAAAATGATTTATGTCGCTGCCTGGGCGAAATTAAAAATATTACAAAAAGCAGCAGCAACAGCAATGCGAACACATTTAAATAACATAAAAAAAGTATACATATATGCAAACAGGAGAAAGAGGCGGTGGAGGAGGGAGAGCAGGGAGAGCGAGTGAGATACATTTGTATATTGTGTCACTTGAAGCTTTAAAATGAAATTGTTGCCGTGTGGAAATTTACGCTGGCTTTTCTCAATTTTTATGCCCAACAATTTCGAACAAGAGCAGACCATGAAAAGCAACAACAGCAACAAGCGGCAGAAGCGACAAAAAGTTAAAATAAAATACATAAACCGCAACAATTTTTCAACATTTTGCACGTGTAAATTTTCCAATTGGCTGAACGCGTTCGCCAAATGACTGCAGGGGGTAGAGGGAAAGAGTGCCGCAGAGTGGAGTGAGAGGACGGAAGGTAGGGGGAGTGTAGATTGAGGATGGTGTACAGAGTGGGTGGGCGGCTGGTTCGCTGCTGGGCGTGTCTGCTATTATGAACCATCTGATGGATTCATTTAGTCTATTCTTGAGGCAGGTGCTCCAGCAGACAGAGAGAGAGAGAGAGGGAGACACAGGGGAAACCCCCCGAGGAGAATTATGGCGGAACATGAAATTTGCATTGACATGGCAACCTCTTAGGGTTGCTGTTACTCCTGTGCGAGAGTGAGTGACCAGCAATTGTCGCTGCCTCGATTCTTTTTGCTCTGGAGTCTCTCGTCTGGCCATTTGCATTGCCGTCGGCAGTTGTCGGCCCGCTTTTTTCTGGCGCTGTTTCGACTAAGCGATACAAAAAGTGCACCCAGTGATCCCTTAGTTTCCATTGAAATATATTTTATATATATACTATATATATGCTATAAGTTAAAGCTCATCGGAAGAGATTACGACACATCAAAACAGTACATTTCTAAGAAACGAGAGGGAACGTTGTGAGTCGCTGATGTGGCCACGACTCTACTTCAGTATATATGTAAATATTTTAACAGTTTACAATTTTTTGCTACATCTGTCATCTACATCTA